AGACTGTGAACACTACAATACGTTTTAATTTATCAAGAGGATTAAAACCTCTGGCCTGGAAGGCAAAGTAGCAACTGCGTAACTTCTAAGGTAAGCGGCCTGCTTCGAACTCACGGCTTCCTCTCTTCTGCTTGGCAAAAAGGCCACACTTAAATACTTGGCGTTCGCCAGACAACTTTGCATAAAAACTCCTTCACGCTTATAATTCTGGCCGGAAGTAGAAAAAATAAGAAGTGATAGTAAAGATTAAAATAAAATAAACGTTAGTAAAACTTAAGATCCTTACAATTATTGGATTGAATAAATCTATAGCGAAGCGCATAAAACACAATAGAATAAATGCATTCTTAAAATTCACTCTAGTATTTGTTACCTAGCGAACTCTGCGCTAGATTCACTAGCAGTTAATAATTATGACAGACTTATATAATAATTATATAACGGAAACTAAGTTAACTGTTATATAATCCATAATTATATAACAGTTAACTACATATTTCGTTCATATTGTAACTCATAATGCACAAAATTTATATCATTTAAAGAATAGATTATCTAATCGTTGCCACTGTTCTATTCAATACTATAATAAAGCTTAGAATGATGTATAAAAGAAATTAAGCAAACAAAACAAAAAAGAAACGGTTTTTCACAGACGATTGAGTATTTCTCATTTAATTAATTCAGTTCTCACTTCGCGAGAAGGCAAAAATGCATAAAAACTCAAAATATCTATATTAAAAATTACGAAGTTAATCTCGAACACTTATTTCCTCGAAAAAATTCCAGAAAGGATTAAGCATGATTTAATTGGCAATAATAAATGAAGGCGTTATCTTTGTTGTTGCGAAGCTAAGTTTCTCTAGATTGGCAACAAATCCACTAGTCTCTGTTTCAAATGTAAACATCAATGGCCGCATATAAAAAAGGCTTAGCGGCACTTAGACAACTTTAAAATTGTTAATAATTCTCAAAATATTGCATACAGATTTACTAAAGGCATAAAAACCTTAACCGGAAGATAAAAACAACATAATATAATCATTTTTAAAGCAAAAAATGTACAATTTACAAACATATAAGAGTAAAGAAACTGGGATCACTGAGCCAGGTAACAGAGTGGATATATATATAAATATATTTATATACGTTTGGTGCGGCCTATTGCAACCAAAGTACGAGGTACACATCTACATGTTATAGCAGTCCTATATACAAAATTTCAACGTTCTGAGGCTACTCGTTTTTGAGTTAGGCGAGATACGTACGTACGCACGTACGTACATACGTTCGTACAGATGCCACGAAAAATTCTCTTCAGAATAAATTTTAAAGCAGTTTTATAATTTTTTTGAAGGAAAAGAGTATTTTATTCTGTCCTTATCTACAGATATCACGCAAAAACATCGTTAAATTGCATTCGATATCGGTCAAAATGGATATTTTCGTTAAAATATGCTGCCTGAAACTTTCGCGATTACAATACTTCCTTTTTACTTCGTACAAGGAAGTAAAAATGAAGAATGTCTGATGAGCTATTTGATACAGCCAGACGTGATCCCACATTTGTGTCAAAGATTATTATGATTTTTTGTTGTTTCTGTGAGTGAAAAGATGACAGAAAAGAAAGCTTTACAAACATTTTTGCAGACATCCAGCGGGCTGTGACAAATGAGCGTGCAAGTATCGCAGTTGAAGATTTCCCTGCTTGCTTCCAAGACCTCCGGAAACGTTGGCAGTTGTGTATAGAAAGCCAAGGAAACTACTTTGATAGCAGCTAGGACCATTACTTGGTAGATGCAATTTTCTATGTTTTACGACCTCTGTACTGGAACTTCTAACGAAGGATGTATATATAGAGATATGACAAAGATGGACAAAGTAGACAAATGCCTTGCTTTGCAGTTTAAAGTGCGAAGGAAGTTTCAATAAATACAGCTCGTTTAATTTTTCGGTTCCAGCTATTAATTAATGGTAACTGAAATCAATCTGCATTTATTGCTTGAAAGTGTCGCTTAGTTTGCTAATTAATAACAGAATAAATTTGAAAGGAAAATTAAAAATCTTACGTTTTGTGTAATACTTAATACACTGAAAATACACTTAAATGCTTAGCACACTTTATACATATTTAAAAGTATTTTAATTTGGAGAGTGGCGACATATATCTCTTAAATCCCCGAGTTTGTTATTAAATTTTTAACAAAAATAAATATATTACGTTTCCCGTGGCAACATAATTCTTTTACATCAATCAGTTTCCGGATTAAATTTGAAACTTAAGTATATTATGCTTTGTAGAGCGGCAGCAAAACATTTTATATCCATAAGTTTCTTAATCAAAAATTCACATTAAATTAGCGCAAAATATGTATATAAAGAGTATGGACTCCTTGGAGTTGTTCTTGAGAAAACTTATGCAGACATTAACCTCCCTCATGTTTTAAAGATCAAGTTTGAAAAGTGTCGTAAAAATCAGAATAAAACTGTAGATTTATATGAAATACAAACAAAGGAGTTATTTATAAAGGTTCTAGGTTTTTTAGTATAAAATTGTTTCTTGTAACTTTATAAGGATTATAATTTATTATGTTTATAATATAGTTATTACATTTAATTTTTTTATATTTATGGTTTTGGATTTGTGTTCATTAATCCTTTGAAATTTCTTTTCCATTTGGTATTGCTTACATGGGGTTTAAAAAACGTTTAGAAAAATTATGATCTATATCTTACTTATGATTTCTATATATACATATATACATACTGATACATGTAAATACATGCTTATGTGTTAAGCTACACACACACACATATATATATATATACACTCTTAGACAAAAAAAAAAAAAAAAAAAAAAAAAAAAAAAACGACGCACCGAGAAGATATAAAGAAAATTGGACACAAATTGATATGCATACAGGTTTCGACGGAAAATTCAAAATTTTACATTTTGGCTGCCAATGAATGAACGGTTGTCTCTACAGCGCATCTGATCTGCGCAACTTGCAGGATATTTAAGAGAAATTACGATTCCAAGTCATAAATTCTTCACGAATTTCATTCTGTGTACTCTGGTAGACAGTAACTATGCCTGGCATACAGGTGCGCGAACGATATGCGCAGATGTCAGAATTTGAGAGAGGTCATGTAGCTGGCTCAAAGAAGCTGGTTGGTCTTATCGGCGAATAGCTCAACAATTGAGCTGGAGCGATGCCACTATTAGACGATGTTGGCAGGAATGGGTGAACCATGGCCGCACACAGCGTCAAGAAGGAAGCGATAGGCCTACAGAAAAGACAGAACGTGAAGACCGAGCAATTGTCAGAGCGGCACTCACAGCCCCAGATGCATCATTATCATCGATTGTACATGCAACTAGTACTTCAGTGACCGCAAGAACCATTCATATACGGCTCCCAGAAAGCGGGCTGAGGTCACGGCGCCCCTTGCGCCGACTACCATTGACCTCTGTACAACGTCAAGTCCGTTTGAAATGGTGTCGGGCTCATTCGCACTGGAATGTTACTGACTGGAGTAGAATAGTCTTTAGTGATGAGCCCCGCTTTGAACTGAGCCCCAATGACCAGCGAAGGTGAGTCTGGAGACGCCCAGGAAAGCGGCGTGATACCAACCTGACTGTCTTCCGGCAGACAGGCCGACAACCAGGAGTGATGGTCTGGGGTGCCATTTCATTTCATAATAGGACCCCCTTTGGTTGTCATACGCCGCAACTTTACAGTACAGCGTGTACGTCGACGAAGTTCCAAGGCCCGTTGTGTTCCTCTTCATGTCACGCAACCCTGGGCTTACATTTCAGCAAGATAATGCCCGCCCCCACACTGCACATGTTTCTACTGCTGGCCTTAGTGCTTGCCAAACATTATCTTGGCCAGCAAGGTCACCGGATCTCTCTCCTATTTAGCACGTTTGAAGCATTATGGGCAGGGCCCTCAAACCAGCTCGGGATGTTGACGATCTAACGGGCCAGCTGGACAGAATTTGGCACGATATTCCTCAGGAGGACATCCCCAACATATATCAATCGATGCCAAGCCAAATAACTGCTTGCATATGGGCCAGAGGTGGACAAACGCGTTACTGACTTTTTCACTTTGTGAAGCTCTATCACTTTAATAAATCATCCAATTTTTCTCAAACTGTAATAATTTCTTTTTCTGTTTTTTGTTTTACATTACTTCTACCAATTTTCGCCCCATTCGGATAACTCCTTCTTGGTGCGTCGTTTTTTTTTTGTCTAAGAGTGTATATATATATATATATATATATATATATATAGTCTAAGAGTATATATATATATATATATACACTCTCTCTCTCTATATATATATAGTTTAAGAGTGTATATAGATATATAATACTAATATATATTCATATAATTAAAAGCTAGGTCGCAAGTACAATATTAAAAAGACCAAGTTGGTTCAAAAACTTTTTGTGCAACATGCTGCAAAACCAAGGAAATGAGAGCATTGTAGTGAGCTCGCCAAAAAGTCACCAGGAGCCGTGGCCGTAAGAAAAAGTTCAACACAGTTTTTCAAAAAAACAATGCCCCGAAGGGCGAAAAACCAGGTCACACGCGAAATAAAATGCAAAATATAAAACACAGTAAAACACAAATCGCTGAAAACAAGCCAATGGCAAAAAATACAACAAAAAACCCATCGATGCGACAAGTCAAAACACACAAAAAACAATCGATGGAATAAGTCAAAACAAATAAAACAAATAAAAACGTATAAAAAACAAATAAAAACGTATAAAAAACAAATAAAAACATATAAAATATGTATATATATATTCATATAGTGATATATATATATATATATATATAATTAACAAGTAAGTTAGTTAGTAATATATATATATATACACTCTTAGAAAAACATCATATAACATCTAAGCATCCTATAATACAACATAATATGCCTCTGTATTCTCCATGAGCAAGAAAGAAAAATGCTTTAAAATATCTTACTTTCTTTCCATTTTCTGCAACGTAATTACTATACTGTTCTTTGAGACACAAAAGTTTGTTTTGAAAAATATCTTTTGACCAGTCGCCATTTTTACCAGTATAGTCAAGCTGTTGAACTGCAATGCAAATAATACTTTCGTTATGATATGAAATAAAGACAGCAATAACTCGTATATTTCACTTCATAAATAATCCAGGCCAAGGTATCTCTGAGTTAAATCAGTTATAACAATATAATACATTTTATTAACTTCGAACCTCCATTGAAATCAAGAATTCTTTCAAACTTCACAAAATACGAAACATAAATGAGAATAAGTATAAGTACTGCATGTGTATAAGTAACGCTGGCATACTATAACAACAGGTAGCTGTTTTCAAATGCATGTATAAACAAAGCATTTAACTTTGCATCTTACGAAATCAAGCTGAGATCTGTTCACATGAAGTGCACGTCTGGACTACTTTATAATTTATCGATACTGGATAAATTAATTAATCAGTAAACATTGCATGTTAACAAAAGGGATAGATAAGAAATTAATTTTTTAACCATAAAATTCACGCAAAATTTGATTATTTAAAATATATATCTATGCCTGGGGGCACCCCGTTGCTCTGGGTTAAAATCTGGCCTAACAAGCTAGTTGCGAAAAATGTTTTGTAGTTACCCCTATGTGTAACATGAACGGTTAGATTTCCTTAAAACGCCTCCGCGAAGAAATCTTACCTCCTGAGCAAATGGCTTTCGTATTCTACGGGTTCGAAATTGACTGAATGCGCACATTACCGATGAAAGCTTTATGAATTTATTTTCCAAAAACACACTACAATTCTGGAACATTTCACAAAAGTACTTCTACAGCTCTCCTCAGTATAACAGAGCACAGTAGTTACAATTTCAAACTACTAAGAAGGTTAATACAAGACAATGCAAAGTGCATTAAAGAACAAAAGCTCGCGCGGTTACCTCCCAATACTCTTCAGCTAAACTGAAAATTGACCGTTGATTGTTGCTTTGAAAAATCCATGCAACTAGTTGGTTTTCTCCTGAATTTGGAAGAGTTCTAAATCGTTGGCTTTAAGCGCTAAACTCCGCCGTAATCAGCGAAAAAATTGAACCGTATGGAAAATTACCGTGGCTACTATAGCATTTTATTCTTCGACTCCATTGAAGAAATAGACCTACACCAAGCTGGTTGAAAACTGACGCTCGCTCCGGTCTTATACGTATAGCCTTCGCGTCCGCTAGGGAAATTCGCAGTAGCTTGTATTTCTCGAAATTACTGGAAGGCATACAGTTTTAGAAGTACAAGAACCGGATCAAAATGTCGCCAAACGTGGCATCTTTTGGCAATGAGGTTAAATGGACTTTACCTTGCAACCATATTTTCTCAGCGATGCTTCAAACTCTGATACTTTTCATGCTACATGATACAGGATATTCTAATATTTACATAGTGCATTCTCACCAAAAATTATTTACATGTATGTAAACCTCGTAACAGTATGCTTTTCATATTTAAATGTTTCTAAATCATAACATAATAAACAACTACGGTCTGGTATAATGAGAAAACATTCAATAAGATATTTCTTACTGACAAACATCTGCCTTAGGGCCAAATGGTGTCCTTCCAATTCCTTAATGCGTCCCGCTATGAAGTTCCGTGCAATGAAATTTTCGACTTTTTCCTAACCAATTCTGTACGCAGCAGCAGGAGTGCGAGTCTATTTTTATAGTGTATATAATCATGACAATATAAAAGCGATCAACCTAAGCTAAGAACACTAAAACATTTTATATTTCATTGGTTGATTCGCATACAGAGCTCATTTGACCCCGTGTCCACAGTCTGGAGCTTATTTAAGGTAACAAATATGAAATTAAGTACATTAATTTAAATTGTAACTAATTTAAATTGTACTTTTTTAAATTGTAACTAAGAAACAAAAATGCTACCGGGAGAGAACGCTAAATGTGCTAGAAGGCATGCAGTCATGTCGAAGAATATAACCCTGTCATTTCTAGAAACTTTTATTTAGAAATTAAACAATAAAATATGAATATATTTTTTGATAAAAAAGACTGACCATAAAAGAAAATTTAGGCAACGAACATTTCATCCCTAAATTTTTTTAAAGAAAAGAGCACACCTTTCGATACCAATAAGGAGAAGGAACTTATTTTTTCCGTATTTGTAATTAATTTCTTTAAAAAACTATAATTATTTTTCAAATATCTACCGGGGAGTGGTGGGTCCTCCCTATCTCAGCCTGGAAACAGGCACTGCTGAACCTAGTTTACTGTGAAGCTTCCGTCCTGTTTTGAGGGAAAATCATTAAGGCAACAGCCTGAGAGTCTCCAATCCATCTTTCTCTACAATCAACTTCTCGAGACGACTTTTGGCTCACCGTGTATTCTGAAACTGAAAGCAGGCCCCTCAGTATAGCAGTCAGAGAAACTGTACCGGCTGGGCGTCCTGGAAAAAGGTACAGGAAGAAACAAAGTCGGCACTTGTGCAGTTCCAATGTTATTTTAGGTAACGAGCCTTGCTAACTGCTCGAGAAACCACACCAAGGGAACTGACAGCCCCGGGCACGATTTCCATTCTCGAATGTCCAGCCAACTAACATCGGCCCACAAAGAACCTCCATCCGGGTCCCCGGTATTTATATCACCACCAGAAGAACAAGGCCTTCTATCTGCTGTGAGCGACATCACTAGCAGGAGAACTAGTATGATTTTAGATTTTGGATCTGTACTATCACTTCTCCCTTTCCGGTTTCCCAGTAGAATGCAAATTTGGTTGCCGTGTATTTAAGGTGAGGCTTTTAGATTGCACGACAGTGTGTGCTCTGTCTCTTGTGGCCCCGTTACTAGGTTGCTATTTTAGATAAGAATTCTTATATTCCCGCCTTGCATTATAATCGCCGATATTTGAATTCCATGTCGGTTTAATTCTGAGACAACTTCGCATTAAAGCCATAGCCAACCACTCATGAAAGCACAAATCGTGCCTTTTGAAGAACGCTTTGCAGAACCTTTCTTATCTGTTCTTACTTGCTTTTGAATAAAGGATTTTTACATTCATGTTTCAGTTGTTACTAAATTTAGCGATAAGTATCTTAACGTCTTCCAAGGGCTTAGAAAGTTTGGATGATAGTGAGACAAGTTAAACTTCACAAGGATTTACAAGTATTATTTGATGATTGTTGATGATCTGCTGGAGAAAGACTTATATCTGTTGTATACCTAACTGCACAAAAAATTACACAAAAGTTTAAAAATTGGACTTGTTTTCATCTCCAAAATCGGATTTATACAAGAAATAGATTCATCAGCAGAATTTCAATGCATTAAAACATTCTAAGAATAAGGTATTTATAATATCAGGATAAATTCCTATATACATATTCATAATATCAGGATAAGATCTTTTTCATAAAAACGTCAGTTTTTTAATCCTTTATGATATTGTCATTGAAAATGATGCTATAATAAATATCCTAATTCATGAATTAAAAACCAATTTGTACCTCTTGATAATAAAACAATTAGGTCTTATTCTATATTTTAATTCTTAAACTTCAGTAATATTTTGAATTCAATAAAATCTGAGATTAAGTATATGTTAACAAATAAGTATAAAAATTTATTTAAATCTGTAATGAAATATATTGTTAATTAAAATATAACATTTTGTTTGATAATATATAAGATGGAATTCATAAATGTTTAACGAATACTCGTAAGCTTTTCATAATATCAGGATAATAAGAATACTTCCTGGAATTCAGCTTGTAGGGTCTACTTGTATAACTTCTAAGTTAGAAATGTAAGAGTAGTAACTGCGCAGAAGAAGGGTTAAAAGTACTTTTTATTAACTCTTTAAAATTCACAGTGCATCAACTCGATGCTAATACACTACGCCTCCGTTCTGGAATTAACAATTAGGGGAAAGAAGGCTTATATGAGAACTTAAAATTAAACTTGTTAGTTAAAACAAATATAAATCCTTAGAAGCTATATAGCATTTTCCAGTTCCATAATTTTATTCCTGAATAGAAACCTAAGCCCTTCCTGTATTTTCTGCAACAAGGCCTTAGGTTGCTGCAGAAAATATTTGCATTTTCATATTACATTATCTATTTGTAAGAAATTCTTATGAATCTATAGTGGCAGTTGATATTGAATTTGCTTTCATTCTTAACTTGGGCAAAATATTGCGTTAAACCAGCTTTTCAAAGATGGAAATTTTGATGAGAAACAGGAAATTCTTCAAAAATAAATCGGTTTGTCCAAGGCTTTGAAAGGAGGCTTTACTTTGACAACTGCCTGACTGCCCAAAATATTTATTAAGTTAATCTTCAGCTTCTAGAGAAAAGCGCTGATAAGAGCAGAGACAGATCTAATAGAAAAATATACAGTTTGCACTTATATTACCAGTAAAACAATGTATGATAAGGAAATAATATTTTTACACAATTTTAATTTCTATTGCGCCTAACTTTTATGCAACTTTTAGGTTATTTATTTATAACCTAAAACATTTATGCAATTTAATTGTTAATAAAACTATTTATTTATGACGATAAAAAATAATTTTACACAGTTTCAATTTCTATTGCGCATGAAACTTAAGGAACTTCTTAATACTTCGGTAATTATTTTCAAAGATGATAAGTACTCTTTTTATTATCGATACTCACTTTGTATCGATTATCGAAGCTTGTGTAATTATTATTATCTTACTTTGCAGCTATTGCGCAAGTATTAGAATATCTTCATTTCGAACTAATTTAAGATCATACGACATTATATATATATATATATGTATATATAAGCAATGTTTCTACAGTAATAAATGATGTAAATAGCTTTTATGTAATTTTAGATACTTTATGACGTTGCGCGCCTCCAACTTGCACGCAACCAAGAGGTGACTGTGAAAACTTGTATAAAAGATAGAGCCTTGTGAAGGGTTTAAGTCCCTTTTTATTCAACGTAATAAATTACAATTGCGTGCTCTTGACGCTCACAGACTGTGCCAACTTGCAGTCAAATAAAAATAATAACCTGAAAAGAAAGTAAAGACAAGATTCTAACTACGAG